TCACTATGTTCACTACATCCATGAGAAGGAAAACACCTGCAGTGGCGATACCAGCGATTCTGGCTCCTTTGCTTATGGCCAGAGCAGTGCCTCCAAAAGCTTTCTGCAGCTGGTTGCCACCTTGGGCTGACATTACCCCCGTGCGCATGACGCTTGTGGCCTCAGCTGCTAAGAGAGGATTGGATTTGACCAGATTGAAGGCACCGGCATTCTTCACAATATTTTCTAGGGATTGGATGCACTTACTACCTAAGGAAGCAATTTTGGGTGTCATGTGACTTAGAACCTCCTGGACCACCTTCTCTGTGTCGCTGCCAGTTGACACTAGGCGGCTGGCTTTGGCTTTTGCTGACTTGTTCTTTGAGTACTCCACGATGCCAGTGGTCACACTGGTCACAGAAGCTGCTGCACCCAGTCCCACCCCAGTTGCAAAAAGCACTAGACTAACCCCTGCTGTGAATGGTGCCAGACACAGGCCAATGATGGTCACAAGGACAGACACAATGCCAGTGGAAGAGGCCGCCACTTGGGTGATGGTGCAGTCCCTGTGCACCTTGTCCACCTCATCAGCCAGTGTGTAGAGCTTTCCTATGCATTCCTCAAGGTCCTGTTTCACCTGAGGAAACTGCTTCATAAACCTCTCCCTATACTCCTGCTCTGCTGAGGGCATGTCTTCATCCTCCAAGGCCATGAGTGTCTCCAGCTGGCGCAAGTCTGCATAGAGTGCATCTGCCTCATCCCTGTAATAATGAAGGTCAGGGGATTAACGAAGGCAGGGGTATGAATAGCTAAATCCGAGGCCCCCGACTGGATGAGCTCATGCAGGAAGCCCTATCCTCTATGGTGGGAACGTGTGTGTCTACCCAGAATCCCTCAGATTACAAAACATTGGGAACCACCATTATGACTGGAAGCGGTCACTAAGCTACACTGCCTGCCCCCTGGTCAGAGTTACTCCATGGAGAATAGAAGAGGGTCCCACAGGGAGGTCAGGAGCCCTCCAGCTCACAGACAGGGTTGGAGGACATAATCACCCAGGGCCCTCTACCCCCAGAAGTGAGGGGATCAATTTAGGGAAAAAAGAAATATGCCCTCCAGCCCCCAACACAGCCCTCCACTAGGCCCGGGGCTTTCTCAGTCCCGTGCCAGGTGCCTCAACAGCCTCACTCTAGTCCAGGGGTGGGCAAAATTTTGACTCGAGGGCCACAATGGGTTCTTAAACTGGACCGGAGGGCCGGAACAAAAGCATGCATGGAGTGTTTGTGTGAACTAATATAAATTCAAAGTAAACATCATTACATAAAAGGGTACGGTCTTTTTTTTTTTTTTAGTTTTATTCATTTAAAACAGGCCGGATCCGGCCCGCGGGCCGTAGTTTGCCCACGGCTGCTCTAGTCCCAGCCCCGCTGCCAAGCCTTCCTACCATCCTCCCACCAGGACCACCCTTGCTCCATCCAGACCCTGGGCTCTGACCTTGTTCCAGGCCTCTCTAGACCTCCGGACAGGATGACTGCACCTGCTTCTTCAGCCTTGACCCTGCACTTCACCCCAAGGCCTTCACCATAGTCCTATCAGACAGACTTGCTATTCCATTGAAGAGGGAGATGACATAAGCCCAGAGCACCAGTGCCGGGCAGAGATACTGTCAGGATTCAACCCAACATGGTGCAGCTTCACTCCAGCTCTCTGCCTTCCAGGCCAGCAGGACCCTGCAGAGTCTGTACAATCCCTTTCTTAGGGAGAGCAGGCTCTCTAGCCACAATCCCCAGGGACACAAACTGTGCCAGGATTTTCCTGGCTTGTCCCAAAGGACGTCCTGCGTGGCTCTCACGTCCAACAAGAAGACGTTTCAGCCCTGTCTATTCCCAGCATCTTTTTAAAAGTTCATGTGAACTGCCCACCTACTATGTGTCAGTCATTAGGCTAAACAGTTTACACACATTATCTTATTTTCCTCACAATGAAATGGAACAGATGAAAAACACAGAGAGCGGTTAAGTAACAGGCCCAAGGTCATGTAACGTTCCCCTGCAGACCTCATCTCTTCTCAACCCGAGCCCCTTCTCTGCCAACGAATGATATGAAGGAAATGTTCCTCATGGACTCTTGAGAAGGGACTTCTTCAACCCCAAGCACAGGACCGGCCTGGAGGAGTGTGCCTGCCAGAGGAATCTAGATGCAGGGGAGATGGGGTGACAATACAGGCATCCCCTGGAGGTTACCTGGACAGCTTGGCTGCAGCCATAAATCTCTCCCAGGATTCATCACTCAGCAGGCGCTGCAGTTTCTCTTTGTTCCATGGGTTATTTAAATAGTTAACAACATGAACAAAGTCTTTCCCCTCTAGAAGGAAAGAAAAAAGGATACAGTTAGAAGAAATGCTAGTAGAACGGAAATGGAATTTATATAAACAATTGAATATAAATGTTCATCTTCCTGAGCAGCTGTCACCTGGCGGACTCTTATTTTTCTTAACCTGGGGTAATTTTGATGAGTCACCTGGTGCTAGGGATGGAACTGTGTCCCCTTAAATTTATATGTTGAAGCCCTGACTGCCCATGTGACTGTATTTTTTTAAATTAAATCTTTATTGTTCAGATTATTACAGTTATTCCTCTTTTTTTCCCCCCATAGCTCCCCTTCACCCGGTTCCCACCCCACCCTCTGCCCTTAACCTCCCCCCATTGTCCTCGTCCCTAGGTGTAAGATTTTTGTCCAATCTCTTCCAGCACTCCCTACACCCCTTTCCCCACAAGAATTGTCACTCCACTCCCTTTCTATGCCCCTGCTTCTATTATATTCACCAGTTTATTCTGTTCATCAGATTTTTTTATTGACTTAATTTTTAGATTCAGTTGTTGGTAGATATGTATTTGTTGACCCTTTGTTGTTCATAATTTTTATCTTTCTCTTCTTCTTCCTCTTCTTAAAGGAGTCCTTTCAGCATTTCATATAATACTGGTGTGGTTGTGATGAACTCCTTTAGCTTTTCCTTATCTGTGAAGCTCTTTAGCTGACCTTCACTTCTGAACGATAGCTTTGCTGGATAAAGTAATCTTGGTTGTAGGTTCTTGGTATTCATCACTTTGAAAATTTCTTGCCATTCCCTTCTGGCCTGCAAAGTTTCTGTTGAGAAATCAGCTGATAGTCGTATGGGTATTCCCTTGTAGGTAACTGAGTTTCTTTCTCTTGCTGCTTTTAAGATTCTCTCTTTGTCTTTTGCTCTTGGCATTTTAATTATGATGTGTCTTGGTGTTGTCCTCTTTGGATTCCTTTTGTTTGGGGTTCTCTGCACTC